AATATTTAAAATATGACTGTTAAGTTGTGAAATAAAATACTTAAAGTATTATATAGGCTAACAAAGAAAACCAATTATACGGAAATACTGTTAATTTTTTGACCTAATAATAAATGTATTTCTTTATTGATAAATTAACTTTAAATACCTGAGATCTATCATTAAGTTGTCAAAGTAATTAGTTCAAATAACATTTGGAAGTACTGTGATGACTACAATATGATATGGAAATATCTGTGAGTGACAAAATATTTGTACTATGACTTTGGTTTCTGGTCTAAATTTACGAGGGGCCTCCCTGGTGACACAGGGGTTGAAGTCTCTGTGCTTTCAAGTTGTCACCAGTCACTGTAGCATGAGTTGGATCTCACCTCATGCAGCAGACCTCTCCAGCCTCACTCACTGCTCCCCTCAGCAGTGTATTTCAGTACATCTGTCTGTTCTGCTCCCCACTCTGTCTCCGATGAATCCTCTAACCCCTGACAATTATGCCCTTCACTGAAGTTCTTGTGTGCATAAGTAAATACCTATTTTTTTTAAATAATATAATAGTTTGGTGCATTTTTCCATCTCAGTTGTAATCCCCGTGGGCTTCCCATCACCAAATCACCCTTGTGCCATCACCATAGTCCAGTGCATTTCCGTCCCCCCACTGTTTTTGATCCCATCCCCCACTCCACCCCCTCCACCCCCATAAAATGTCTCTGGTACATAGTCATTCATTATTATTATTATTTTCTCACCTGGTCCATTATACTCCTGCTATGGGTAAATCCATCCGGTGTTTTTCCTTTTCTTTCTGGCTTATTTCACTAAGCATGATCTTTTTTTTTTTTTTTTTTTGGTTGCTGAGTAATATTCTGTTGTGTATATGTACCATATCTTTTTAATCCAGTCATTCACTTTTGGGCATTTGGGCTGTTTCTGTCTTTCCAGTTGTAAATAAATACCTATTTTTTTAAAAGAAAGAGATGCTGGGCCCACCCTGGTGGCACAAGGAGTTAAAGCACATCCCTGTGAAACTATCCATAGCCACTGCAGCATGAGTTTGATCGACAGCCAGGGAGGTGACCCACATGGTGTGGCAGACCTCTCCTGACCCTCCCCCTGTTCCCCTCAGCAGTGTACTTCATTGATCTGCCTGTTCTGCTCTCTGCTCTGTCTCTAGTGAATCCTCTCACTGCCCCTGCATCTCTGTCCTGTACCCCATTCTGTATGCATAAATAAATAAATCTTATTAAAAAAAAAAAAGAAAGAGATGCTTAATTTCAACTATATGTCAGTAAAAATAAAGTATTTTTCTCCATACAGGGCCAGTGACACTTACTCTTATTTGACCCAGTTTGAGTCGAATTATTTCATTAAGTTTTTTCCTCTGAAGCATCTCTTTTATACATTCTGTTTTAAATATGAAAGTACCAAGTTTGGTAGATTCTCTTGCCTCTCTCACTCCCATGGAGTCATTTGGAAAGATATATCAACTCAAAAATGTACTCCATTTTTCCCTTCAAATGTAAATCTCAGAATATTAAGCTGGACACACACTTTTCAATATCAGGAAGCTGGGATGTCTCAGTACCCAGCAAGTGACTCTCATAGCTGGAGCTGATCCATCTAGATTTCCAAATCTGCTTATAAATCTGTCTTCCTACCTACGACTCAACATCTTTCTCTCATCCTTGAGAAAATCGACCAGGATGAGATCATTAAGCATCAAGTTGACCATTGAGCTGTTCTTTTTTCTTTTATATAATAAAGTTGTTTGAGAGCTCTGGTGTTTCATAACGAACAGATTCTGAGATCCCACACCATAAGCAAGTGTGATGAAACCCCTGGCTGAGAAGAGCTATTCTAGGCTCCAAGACTGCAGACCACTGTGAGGCCATTCAGAATTTATAGAGACTATTATAACATGAAGTTTCAGTGCTCAAAAAAATGTTTTTCTTAAGCAGAGATTGCCACTTTTTCTCATCAGGCCAGATAGACACATTTTAGACTCTGTGTACCATACAGTCTCTGTGGCAACTGCTTTGTTCTGCCATTGTAGTATGAAAACAGCCATGGACAAACCCTAAATGAATGAGTGTGGCTGTGTTCCAATAAGAACTATTTTATGGACATTGAAATTTGAATTTCATATACTCTTCAAATGTCACAATCTATTACTCTTTTTAATTCCTTTTTTCACTTTGTAAACTTGGAAAAAGTGTTCTTAACTGTCAAATCTTATAAAACAACCAGTAGGCTGGTTTTTGTCCCTAGGTTGTCATTTGTTACTTGAGTTCTTAAATATGAAATCAATAGCCAGGTGGCAAGCCAATTAAGTAAGTTAATCTGGTTGACTGACACCCCAAGGGGAGCTACATTTGAAATAAATTTTAGGTAGAATGTGAAGTGAAAAAGACTGATGCTTTTAGGTAATACTATGTATAGAAATAAAATGTAAATTATATAGGTAGAAACTGTCTTTATCTGAAATCACTTGGTGCCCTGATCTCAAAGACAGCATGTAGGAGGCATCAATTTTGTTCAGACACTGCAGTCTCTACAGTACTGAAATGTGAAAGTTTTCAGGAAGCAAACTGAGCAGCACAAATTTAGAGACACCCTCCCCCAACCTAATTAGAAGGGATAAGGTGTTTACTTACCTTTACCAGCGCTATGTTTATCCAGTTCTTTGTATTAGCAGGAGTGTGAAATTTTGAACCTAGGTCATCTCAAGAAATATCCTCACTATTTAAAGTAGTGGTAGAATTAGTATTCAGAGCATTTTTTTGCAGGGAGAAAAACAAAGACAAATGAAAAGAAAGAAGAAATCAGAAGGAGGGTGGTAGACAGCAATCTGGTGTGGGTGTAGACAATCCCTATGATTCACGGAAAAGTTAGGGCTCACAGATTAACTCTGTCATGAGAAAGTGTTCCCTTTCTTGTAGAATATTTCCCATCAACCAGAGCGTTACAAAAATTATCACAGAACTTCACCTATTTAGGAATCCGGTAGTGCAAAATAGATAATACTAAATATGAACTTCAATCTTGTGGTGGTGGTTGTTATTGTTTTATAAATATCATCAGACACACATCTGGGGTTTTAGTGCTTGCCACAATGTAGTTTTCTGTTTGACATATATCTAAGAAATGCGTCTATTAACACCCAGGCTATAGAGCCAAGCACATTTTAGTGCCGGCTACAGCTGAAAGAATATGTTTCCATTCCTTGTCCATCTGTTCTTGGCAACATAAATTTAAACTAGAATCACAGAATAAGTTTCATGAGAAATAAGTCTAAATAGGGTTTAGAACACCAAGGTGAATACTCTGAGTTATGACTTGTTAACATTTGACTTTGAACACCATGGTCGTATATACTTGGAGAAATCTTAGGCTGCAACTATAGTTTGAAGTTAAAAATAAAAAACAATGTTTTTGTGAGTTCACTAAAGATATTTTCTGTCTTAAGGGCTTATCTGAAATTTGCCAGTGATCGTCGGCCTAAGAAACTAAGATTTCAAAATGCTATTTGCCACACATTTGAGCTACCATGAAAATGTGTCATTAACATCTCTAAACTCCATGCTTAAATGAGTATTAGTTGAGAGAGGGTTTTCTGTACAAAATGGAGCTCATAGAAAAGATATTTGCATGCTTTTCTTCAGATCCAGCCTCAGTCATTGCATGGTTATCTTGCATAATAACATCCCATTGTATGCCACCGCCTCCACTTTGCTACTAAAACCATATTAAACTACTTATTTGCATTTGAAAATATATGAGAATAGTAAGCTAGAAAAGGACCATGGATACAAACCTAGAGTTTTGGCTCCCAATCAAGGATCCAGGCACTCTGACCTATTGAGTCAGGGTGGGGCGCTGCGGGATGGTGCTCATGTGAGCTAAAACTGGGTTCCGGCTCAGAGAAAATCTTCAGTTGGAAAGGGAACAGAGCTCACATAGTCCAACCTCCCTCCCTACATAAGAAAAGTTTCTGTAATTTTTAATCTCTCTTTGATGTGGCTCATTCAAATACAGCAGAGTGGTTGTGCATAAAGTTGTTGAGCTCAAACTTTTATCATAGATTCAGTGATACTTTCCTGTTATAACAAGAGCATGTATATGATTTAGAGGTAGGATCACACTCTTCAGGATTCACATTTTGGCTCTGTTGCTAGGTATGTGACTATGAATAAATTAAATAAATTCTCTCATTTTAACATTTCTATTGCAAGGGGGATTCATATTTGCTTGAAATTTCTCTTCAGGGCAGTAAATGAGCTGACATATAGAAAGTGATTATCCCAGTGGTAAGCATTTAGTAGACCTCCAACAAGCAATATCTACAATTGTTAGTCTTTTTACTGTCCTCTGTTTTTTATAAATGAAGGAGTGAGTGAATAATTGCACTATTCTAATTATCTACTCCCAGTCAGTATTTGGTATTCAGAAGAATACTTTTTAAAACATATATTGTTATGTGAACTTCTGCTTTTGTTACCTGTGAGAATGGTGATATTCTGATTTAGAAACTTAGTCTTCTTTACAAATGAAGAAACCTTAACTCTGTGATCTCTCTGGATCTTTTGTTCTAGTGTTATAACAAAATCATGTTTGACAGCATATCCTCATACTTTATTTATAGTGTGGAAATGTATATTTGCTGCCAAATGTCTGATATAGAATGTATGAATGTTCCATATAGACATGTGGAATAACATTAAGTGTGTTGATGTTAAAAACTACTGGTATATTTTTTTGCATTATTGGGCTCAGGATCCATTCTTCCCATTTTGTTTCAGAATAAGCTGACAGCAATCTTTTTTTCTACTGTACCTCAAGCTTTAATGAAACAGAATTCCCGAAGTAGGCCATCTTTCCATTTCTTTCAGTAGCCATGACTTTTGCTGTGAAGTAGCTTTTTCACTTTTATTTTTTATAAGTAATAGCATTCAATTGTAGGCACGTGCAAATGCATGATAACTTACAAGGCTTCTGCTTCCTTTCAGATCTGAGTGATCAGCTGCTAGAGGTGGTTGGCTTGGAAGGAGCCATGGAGATGGGACAAATATACACAGGCCTGAAAAGTGCTGGGCGGCGCCTAGCCCAGTGTTGCTCGGTGGTCATCAGGTAGCTCCTTCTTTCTTTCTTTCTTTCTTTTTATTAAAGATTTTGATTTATTTGTACATACAGAACTGGGGTACAGGCCAGAGGCTCAGGGGCGGCAAGAGGCTTCACCAGGGACAGAGTGGGGAGCAGAACAGGCAGATCGACAAAGTACACTATTGAGGGGAGCAGCGGGTGGGTCAGGAGAGGTCTGCCGCGCCATGTGGGTCACCTCCGGGGCAGGTGGGAATCGAACTCATGCAGAAGTGGCTTTAGCTCTCTTAGTGCAGTACTTTAACCCGCTGCGCCACCAGGTAGGACCCAGGTAGCTCTGTCTTTATAACTGAGGAAAGGATTTGGCAAGCTTGATGTGAACTGAAACTATGAAAGAGTCAGATAATGATACTTGTTTTATTTCTGCCTTGTTGGAAAGTGATTAATCCTGAAAAGTTTGAAAATAATGGAAATTGGCAGATTGAACAAAGGTTTTGCTAGCTATTATCAGATTAGTTGGAATCTGACTCTCCTGTTGGGACCAAAGGTATATATACATTTCATCCCCTCAAATACAGTTCACATTCAGTATAGTTTACTAAATCATCAGTTTCTACTAGGCAAATTATCTGTTGAAAACTTTTTTTTAATTTTTTTACTGAAGTAAAGTGCAATACGAAATTTAGTATGAATTATTATAAAGGATGAGTTCCTTGGGTAAATTTAAATTTTATCAAGCAACATTTTCCCAAAACTGTAGCTGTGCAGAAAAATGTCTACTTTGACCCTATGGTTAAACCATAAATTACAGATCTAATTGATGATATTTACATAAGAGTGTCAATATTGGAAAATCTGAGACATCAAACACTTTTCTCCAGGTTTGATATATGGGTTTGCATAAAAATGAAGAGGTTCTTTTGGCTATAGGGATTCTGATCATGTCGTTCAATATAAACCATCCATTTTTCTTTTTGCATCCAGAATTTTTAGTTGCATCACCACATTTACCAGGTATCTGTTAACATTCCTTTCATTAGTAGGTGACAAGACTATTAGTAGCCATGATGAGTTTGTTTTCACAAGAGATAACTTTAAAGCCTGGCTACTCTCATATTTGCATTCCCTGGTCTTCGTCTAGCTTATAAATTGTCTGCTACGGGAAGTATTTCAGTGTTATACTTAAAATGAAATATTTGCCCCCAGGACCAGCAAGTCTCTGCCAATGCAGATAGATGGAGAACCATGGATGCAGACCCCATGCACAGTGAGTACAGAGCAGTTGAAATGCTACATTGTTTTTATTGGTGCTTTTCAGTATCCTATAGTCCTATAATCAGTCATACACTTCTATAATTAAATAATCATAATATCCAAGCTTTGGGTCTATGTCCAGGTATCTTTGTTTCTCTTATTTATATAATAAGACACTGCATTCAGATTTTAAGCATTTTGTGCCCTTAGTGGTCATATTGCTGCTCAATATTAGTGCTAACCTAAGTGTAACATTTTGATACCATAGAACATTTAAAAACTCTGGAAATATACAAAATTGATAAGGTTTCTCTTACCCTCTCAAGTACTTATTTAAGAACATGTTATGAGAAAATTATTTATAGGTTCTTCAGACACATCTCCGTGAATATATTACCCATCTGTTCTATTACCTCTATTTGGGGGTTAGAGGACTGACTTCTCAATTGAAAAACTCTCCCTATAAGTGTTTTCTCCCTAGAGAAAGTATTCAAATCATACATTTAGATTCCTCAAAAATTCAGTTTCCATTTGTAGAGTGGGCATTTTATTGCATTTCAGAAAGATGCTGGGTATTACTCTTGGCACTGAGTAAGATAGAAACATTTTAATAATATGGATCATGATCAATAATAGGAATGAAGACAAGGACTGCAACATAACCATTAACACAATTGTCTTCAAGGCGCTTTATAATAGAAGATGAAATAAAATATAAGAAGCAGGGATAAATAAGTGTTTACAGGAGTTAGAAACAGAAAATGACACAAAGTGATGAAGAGGACCCAGAGTATAGAAGATACTACTTTTGATAAGTGGATCTGGCAGTTCTCTTTGAAAAAAGTCAAAAGCTCAGTATTTTAAAGACAATAAAAAGGATGGTGTAACCAAAGCTTCTAGAGCTTCTAGAGCTAGAAGTAAAACAGAACAAGTGTAGAGTGGACAGTTCATGTAGAAAATGTGGAGAGCAGAACATTTAATTTTAAGATAATAGGAAGTTATTGAAAATCTGAAGCATCCTCTGATTCAGATGGGTGATTTTCACCATGACTGCAGTATATAGAATGGACTGTGCTAAATAGCCCCAGGAGACAGATTTATCAGAATCATCTGGACTTGGGTAAGGATAGTAACAGGAAAACAGCAGGATTTGAGCCATCCTGAAACAGGAAAAATTTGCTACTGAGTTCTCTCAGATGGGAGATGGAAGATGAGAGAAAGAGATGAACGGAGGTTAGTCCTTGTGAGAATGCTGTTTACTATGTAATTAAGATGGGGGGGAAACTAGTTAGGGAGTGACAGGGCAGCTCTTAATATTAGATTAGGACAAACACTATGTGAGTGCTTTTGCTACATGTGAGTATTTATTAAATAGTCAATATCTAAAGAAAGGATATCACAGAAGAGAATTGAGGCTTTTGGAAGTTGAATAACTCAAGGTCTATGTAGCAGTTACATCTCTCAAGCCAAGAACTCTGCTTAAATCCCATTCTCATAACTACTGTTTAAACAACTTTAGCTATAGTTTCCTAACAGCCAAGCTTAGCATATAAGCAAGGTTTTAATTTTACCTTTCCACTGGTTTTCCTCTGAAACTGCTGGCTTGGTCTTTGTGTATAGCATATAAGTCATATATAAGTATGGCTTTTAATTTGTTTGTTCCTGGCATTTTCCTTTTTGATCTCTGAACCCTAAGTTTGTGAATTGCACTGTTTCTGTAAGAATGTAAAATGAACTTACCTAAAAATCTCTCTATTTCCTATACTTTCTTCCAACTCTGTACTTATTTTTAAATATACTTAAATAAAATTATTGTCCTTCCCCCTAGTAGTATGTATGCTTTCACCTTATCTCCACCTTATCTCTCCACCTTATCTCTCCTCACTTCTAAATTCACATTTATAATCATATTTATGTCTAAGGTGGTGGTGTTAGTGTAAATGGTGGTGATGTGCAGGATGTGGTGAGGACAGTGGTAATAGAGATCTTGAGGAAAGTGGTGGAAATATTGGTCAAACGTGGTTACGGCAGTGATGCTACCATTTGGCAGCAATGGTTATGGAACTAGTGGAGATGGTATGGTGACAGAGCTTTTGATGCAAGCTTTTGATGGTGGAACAGTGTTCTCATGTCTAAGAAGAGGTCTGTTGTCAACTGTGGTCACAAGAGAATAAATGAAAGATAATCAATGAAATACTTTCCATGAGTAGACTACTTTTTTTAGATTTTTTTCTTTGGGAGATGGAAGTTTACTCCCTGTGCTATATTTCAAGTCAAGAAGCCTTAATGGCAATGATAATATCTGACATTTATTAAGCTTTCAGTTTGTACCTTATTACAAACTGAGACACCTGACCTGTATTGGCACATTGAGCTTTCATAAAAGCCCTGATTAGCTTCACTTAATAGATGAGCTACTGAGGCAGAATAATATTAAATTTCTTGCCTGATTTCATACATGATAAATGGAAATGTAGAAAATGTAACCCAGGCAGGCTGGTTCCTCTGTCTGGCTTTGTCACTCCCTAAGCAGATCTCAACCTGAGAAAGCCTCAGGCATTCTTAATGACACCCTCTCCCCTCCAGAGTATGACCTTTGTTAAATCACCTGCTGCCTTACTCCACATTTAGAAAGTCTACATCTATTAAATCTAATTCATGTTTTGGTATAATTCTAACTTATTTCACATAAGCATGTTTAATGCTTTTATTAAGTTTTTTTTCCGGTGATCTATATAATTGTTAAACTAATAGTAATTTATTATAATTTATATTTCTCTCCCTGTAAATTCTCTTATTCATTTAAAACATTTTTTGCAGTCTACTGTAGTCCAAGAACAGTACTAGACTATGGCTCATTATTGTTATTTCACATTCTGGCATACTCTCCTTTTCCTAGAACCACATGGAGTTCTGAACTTTAAATTTCACTTTAACTGAAGAGAATATTTAGTATTCATAGCATTGGTATGGTTTAACTGAACACTGTTCTTTGCTTCAATTGAATAACACAGTGTTTTTCTTACAGAACGTAAGAATTGGTAGAATGTTAAAATTCTTTGCTGAATTTAAATATCCATAAGCCGATATTCAATTTATGAAGGAATTGCTCTAGATGTAATTTTAGAGCATAGCCCACAGAAATTCTTTTTTTTCCTTAAGTGGAATATATAAAATGGAAAGGCAGGTCATAAATGGGTCTTGGTCATTAAGCCAATTAGTACTTTTTAAACTAAAATACATACCATCTAAGTTCTGGAGAGGGATGATGCTGATGGTTGCATAACAGTGTGAATATAGTTAATGCCACTGAGTTGTCAAGATGGATAATTGTATATTATACTTATTTTACTATAATAAAATAGAGAATGAAGACATGAAGGTAATGTTAACTTACATTAGTTAACTTACACCAATTCTGAGTTCAAAACATAGGAAAATCATATACCAAAAAGCATAAAATATATTCTTCAAACTTATACTTTGATAATGATTTTATGAGATTTTTAAATTGCCTCTCTATAGTCACCAGAAATTTGTTTAATACTCCTGTGTTCACAGTCCTAACAGTGAAATTTGTTTAATACGCCCATGCTCACAGTCAATGAGTTAAGAGAATGTACTTTGTAAACATTAGTCATGTTAATACACATATCAAATTAAAAGACTATTTATTCGAGAAGACTTTATATTGGGAAGTTTTGACAAATGCTTTTTTCAGACCAGACTGTAGACCCCAAATTTCCTTTCTGGTTTCTTCCTCCCTGTTTCTCCACTGTAACACATCAAATGTCCTGCCTCTGTTGTCCATGTTTTCTATAATAGAGAGGGGGGAAAAAAAAAAAACCAGCAACTTGGGAAGGAAAAGAGCAAGAAGAACGGTAAGATATAGAAAGTCATGATGTAGGTCAGATATCATTTTATACCTAGGCACCCAGCTCCCCCAAATCCCATTGGTGATATGTGGCCAGTAAAATTTTAAGTGAGGAGTGACCATACAAAGCCTCAAATTCAGTACAACCAAAATGGATTACTCATTTGCTTCCATCTGGTCCCCTATCAAAGAAGAGTTCTTACATTTCAAAACTGCTACTTCTTCTCCTCTTCTCATATACTTAGTGGAAAAATCACACACCCAGTTTTCTCTAAACTAGAAATCTGAGGTTCATTCTATACTTCTCTGCATACCCTCAAACCAATCAAGATGCCCACCTTATAATATCACATTTCTGGAAACTTTTCGTTCCTATTTCCACCGAATTTGGTCATTTCATTTCTCTCGCTCCCAACAATAACCACAGCAGACTTCACCTCTATTTTTTCTAGTGCTTTTCTTCCAGAGTGATGATTATATGGGTCTAATCTCACCACAACACTCCTCTGCTTAACGTTGTATGATTTGAGTTAGGCTTCCTGTTTTGCCAGTGCCTTCTCTTACTTCTATTTCATCTTCTGTGCTTCCCTCCTGGCAAACATCTTCTCTTCTTCAGGGTAACTCAACTCATCTATTGAGACTTACTTCCTACTATCTTTCCTCCATAAAACCTTTCCTATTTCCTCTTTCTCCACCTCCCTACCCTATACGTGAGCAAACCGCACGCTCAGCCTCAGTGCTTCATTGGGTTACAAGCAACTAACTATTGATACATTATATTGGAACTGTCAGCTGTCAGCGTGTTGGTCAAGTTTCCGGGTAAATTTAAATTAATGTGGTCAGGGCAGGTATCGGTCATCTCTGTACCCCCCGAGTAGGAAGTGTGCTGCACACATCATTAGGTTGCCAATACTAAATACATTTTAAATTTGCAAATTTCTTAAATACTTCTTGGGATAGTATAACAATTTTTTAAAATACTCTTTACTAAATCTTTCACTGAACAGGATGTAGGTTGGCTAGCAATTCATTCACATATTTCTCATATATAAATACATGTAAAAGTTATTTTGAGTTATCTTTATTCATTACATTCTCAAAGCAAGAATTTGAATGTATCAGAGAAGAAACACTTTTCA